AGGCAGTGCATGTGCAGGCAGTGCAGGTGCAGACAGTGCAGGTGGAGACAGTGCAGGTGCAGGCAGTGCAGGTGGAGACAGTGCAGGTGCAGACAGTGCAGGTGGAGACAGTGCAGGTGCAGGCAGTGCAGATGGAGATCCCTCCTGCATCTGAGTGCCCCAGTTCTGCCTTTTTCTCTGTGTTGTCTTCTACTTAAGTTGTCTTCACCATTGCAAAATAATCTGAATAATCCAGTCCCTAGTTGGGGCATGATGGCAAATGACTTTAAAATCTGAGCGTTGGGAGGCAGAGACAGGTGGATCTCTGAGTTCAAAGCCAGCTTGGTCTACCCAAGTTCCATGCCAACCAGAGCTATATATAGACACCCTGTCTCAAAAACAAACAACAAACAACCAAGAATAGTGCAGTCCTTACAATATCACTAAATCTTTTCTTCTTTGCCCATCAATTTATTCTCTATTCCTCAAACCTTAGGAGGACTGAAGTATGTCTGTGTGTGTGTGTGTGCACGCGCGCGTGTGTGTGTCCGTGTGCGTGTGCGTCCATGTGTGTGCGCGTGTGTGTTGACATTATCTCATCAATCTATTGTCACACTGGGTGGGATTTTGGGGATAACCTTTCCATGTCTATAGTCAAGTCCTGAGAGAGACCTTCCCCTCCCTGGCCCTCTCCCTAGCCTCAGAAACACCCTCTGCACCCACACTCATTCCCAGCAGGGTTGAGCCCAGAGCTGAGGTTTGGCCAGGGCTCTCTCTGCAGCTGGTACTAGACCTCAGAGGTCACCCATAGAGCACAGAGGGGAGTGTCCCCAAAGATCACTTTTGCTTTGTGCTCAGACAGCTTTTCTCTATGGAAACAATGCCACACAGTTACTCAAATAACTTTTACATTTGGAGTTAGGTCCCCAGGCCAACCCACAACAGGCTATTAAATTACTGTGCCAACCAACGGGATCTAAGAGTTCTCTAAGCAACTTGACCAAGTGGCAGCTGAATGACAGGTTCACAACCTCTCCCTGCATTGGCTTTTCCTTCCTTTCTAGGAACCTGGGGCGTGGCTCTCAGTCAGGGTGGGAGGAATTGAAGGGAAGAGATTCTGGGCTGGGGCTGGGGTATAGGAGTGCCTTGGCATGTAGGCATGTGTGTGCTGGTAGTGGCTCTGATGACATGGGACAGAGGAAGTTTCCGTGTGTGTGTGTGTGTGTGTGTGTGTGTGTGTGTGTGTGTGTAGGGATGAGAAGAACCAGAAAGAAAGTGACAGGTAATCAAAGGTTTTGAGGCCCCACAGTGAGTCTGTCTGGGACAGAACACACCAGCTGCTGTAGGAAGCGACCATTCTAGAAAGATTTCAGTCTCCAAGTTTAACTGAAACCTCAAATTAGTGGGAAACATTGGTGTCACCGGAACAGGCAAGAATAGCACAGAACTGTGGAGAGGATGGCAACAGTCGCACAGTCCACAGTCCTGTTGGTAGCTTAGAAGGGGAGGAAGAATAAGAAGGGACAGAAATTGCCAAGAGGCAGTCCCCAGGCCTGTCACACCCTCACAGCTGCTTCTTGGCTTTGGGCATCCCTGATTTATGGGTTAAATAATCTTATTAGCCAGGAGTGGCAGTATATATCTGCAAATCCAGAACCTGGGGAGGCTAAAGCAGGAGGATTGCTTAGTTTGAGATTAGCCTGAGCTATGTTGCGAGTTAGAACCAGTCTGGTTATAGTGTGAGGCCCTATCACAAACAGCATGAAACAACAGAACAAAAATAATGAAGAATACACTTGGGCCACTGTCCTCTGAACCACTGCATATCCTAGAAGGCCGTGGCCTTCCCTTTTCTACCTTGGCTAGGTACATGCATAGTTTCAGATGGACCAGGTTAGTTGGGAATGAAGAGGAGAGGGAAAGGAAGGGAAGGAGAAACTCCCAAGGAAGTTTTTATGTGGTGGGGCAGAGACTCAGATTTGAGGGGTGTGGCCCCTTTTCCTGTGAGCCAGATAGAACAGGACTGTGAAAGTCACATGCCAACTTCTTCCTGTAGGGCTTCTGAGAGCCTTCAGTTTGTTGAGGGGAGGTGACACCACCCAGCCTTGGATGCAGCCTTGGAAGCTCATTGACTGTCTTATTAGTGGCATTGTGGGCTGTCTCTTTGGTCCTTTGTTGTGTAGCATTCCAACTTGTAAGGAAGTGCTAGGTCTCAAGCTGGTCTAAAGGAAGGGGAATATTCCATTCTTTAGGAAAACTCCTTAAAACTCAGGAACTGAACAACCCAAAAGCTCCAGGAAGCCCCTGAGACTAACTGGATTTACCAGGATCTTCCCTTTGAATGCATACGAGCAGACAGGGCTGCTGAAACACTCAGACCCACTGAGCTGCTGGAAGAGATGCTCCAACACATCAGGCTGCTAGCAAGTGGTGCATTGCACTCCAGGTTTCCAGTTTCACTAGCCGTCACCTTGCTGGAGTGGGTTCTTGATAGTGTAGCTGCCATTGACTCTTCTCAGTAACCCCTCATCCACACTCCATAGTAGCCCCAATAGACAACTTATTGGTGGCCCGAGTTGGACTATGGTGGCATCCTTACTTTGCTGTCATTGGCTCCCTGTCTGGGGTTGAGTAGATGTTTATTCTGGCCCCGTCGGGAATTGTATCACACAACATCTTAAATGAAGAATGGGGATAATTCCCTGAGCAGCCCAGATGGGGGAACAAATCAGGTCCCAGTCGCAGTAAAAGGCAGCAAAATAGCTAGCTCCCTTGCTCCCTGGATGCAACCATGTCAGCCCCCACTTATTCTGCACTGTATGTTAATCTGTTCCCAAGCTGCCTCGTTTTCCAAAGTACAGGAGATGAGAGAGTGCACACCATGTTCCACATTCTGGCAGCTCCTGTGAAGGTCATGGCCATAATCTCTTTCATCTATGGAGGGCTCAGAAACCATGACCACTCCAGCAAGTGTGGGGCTCATGGTGACACACTCTCCTGTGTGTCCACATCTCATCATGGAAGTCAGGCAGAGGCTGGCTCTTCTCACTGAAGGTTTTCCTTGGTCTCAGTGGGGACTGCTCTTCTTTTCTTTTTAGACAGTCTCCCTCTGTAGCCTGGGTTGACATCAAACCTATAGATGACTTTCTTGCATCTGCCTCCCAAGTACTGGGGATTACAGGTGGGAACCAATAGGTCTGTTTTAGAATTCTTAAATACTGTCTTTTGTCTAAAAATGTTATTTATTCACTATGTAATAGTGTTCTGTCTCCATGTATGCCTGTACGCCAGAAGAGGGCACCAGATCTCATCACAGATGGTTATGAGCCACTATGTGGTTCCTGGGAATTGAACTCAGGACCTCTGGAAGAGCAGCCAGTGCTCTTAATCTCTGAGCCATCTTTCCATCCCTGTCTAAAATGTTTTGACTGCAGTGTGAAGTATCCCCAGGCAGCAGCACTGGAACAGACTTAGGAGGAAGGATCTTGTGATTCATCTCATCCTGTGAGAGGACCCAGTTTTCAGGCAAAGCTCCTGACCTCAGAGGATAAATCAAAAGAGACACTGAAGTACTGAGAGGCGTTCTTTTAGAGGGTTTGTGTGTGTGTGTGTGTGTGTGTGTGTGTGTGTGTGTGTGTGCATGCTCGCACACACACACTTGTGCACTAGTGTGAGTTTATGTGCACCAAGCACATGCAGCTGATTGTGGAGGTCAGAGATCTGATCTCCTGGATCTGGAGTTACAGGTGGTTGTCATCTGCCTGATGTGGTGCTGGGATTCAAACTGAGCCCTCTGTAAGAGCAGTAAGTGATTTTAGCCACCGTGCCATCTGTCCAGCCACAGGAAATGAGTTCTTAAATCTTTTATATTCTTTGCCTTAGTTCCTTTTCTCACTGCTGTGACCAGAACCCTAACAAGAAACTCATGAGGGAGGAGGGGTTTATCGTGGCTCACAGTTCCTAGGGATTCAGTTCATCATGGTGAAAGAGGCATGGCAATAGCATGAGACAGCTGGTCACACTGCCTCTGCAGACAAGAACTAGACAGCAGACAGGAAATGGGCTGGGCTGTAAAACCACCAGCCCAGCCCTCTAGCGATCCACTTCCTCTAGGAAGGCTCCATCTCCTAAAGGTACTGTGAGTCTCAAACATAGCCACTAGCTGGGAAATATGTATGTAAAATACATGAGCCCGTGTGGGATATCTCACACTCACGAGCCTGTGTGGGCTATCTCACAATCAAATGACAACAGTGATTCTGTAGCATTCCAATGGCTTCTGTGTCTACTGAACTGGGTGGGCTGTGTTTGCTGATCTGACAGCTTGGGGCTCGATTCCTCTGTAACTTTATTAGCTTGCTAATGAGTTTGCTATGCTTTGGGGATTGATACCCTGAAAGCCAATGAACCACTAAGAGATGCTTTATCTCTGCCCTGTGTTCTCCAGTGATTTCATTTTCCCAACTCTCTAGCATCACTTTGCACCCATTCTCATAAAATCCACGCAGAGACCCTTAGACAAATATTATAAACCCAGTCTACCCACTGTGGCAGCTACTGAGTTATTCACAGCTTTACTTAAATTTAAACAATTTACATTGAAATGAAGTGATAGACTTCTGACCCTCTGAATGTCTCTCTGTCAGACAGACAAACAGACATTTGACATCAGAGACTTCCATTGGGGAGGGTGCTCTCTGCATTTTCTGAGGCCATGCTTGAGGTTGGGGTTTGGATCTGGAATATTTCCACAAAGGCTCACATTGGCTTGGTTCGTGATGCACTTTTGTTCAGAAGTGAGCAGTCACAGGGCCTAGAGCTTGACAGTGGATTTGTCCTTTGATGGATTTATTCCTATTTGTATTTATGTGTGTGTGTGTGCTCATGGAGGACAGAAGAGCATTTACAATCCCTTGCAGCTGGACTTACAGGCAGCTGAAAGCTGTCAGACATGGATGCTGGGAACTAAATTGGGTTTCTCTGGCATTTTAGCAAGTGCATAACTGCTGAGCAGTTTCTCCAGTCCCTGTTGATGGATTTATAGTCCATGGAATGCTGGGAGTGGGTGGATACCATGGCAGGCAGAACCTGGTTGGAGGAAGAAAGTCAGAGAGGATATGCCCTTGAAAAGTATATCTAGTTCCCAGACCCCACTGTGTGTGAGCTGGAGAGAAGTCTCAGGGGTTAAGAGCACTTGTTGCTCTTGCCAAGGACCCAGGTTCAGTTCCCAGTACCCACATGATGGCTCATAGCTATTTGTAACTCCAGTTCTAAGGGACCCAGTGCCCTCTGCTGGCCTCAGCAGGCATCAGGCATGCAGGTGTACAGCAATTCACTCACAAAATAAAACTAAATCAATAGATAGTCTTTAAAAAAAAGACTGTGAGCTTGGTAAGAATGCTTACCCCAGCTTCCTTCCTCAGTGGTGGGAACCCCACTCCTCCCTCACACTCCCTCAGGGAGTCAGAGATGGGGGGGTTCAGACCTGAGATCTTACCAGGAATAGACAGACACAGCATCTTACCTGCTCATGGAGATCCCAGAGCTCTCAGATGAGCTGAATGAGGGCTGAATAGGAATGCATTTAGCCACTACATTCCCTTAGGTGGCCAGAGACCCTTTCTACTACCCCACCTCCCTCTCCTTCACAGCATGCTCCCTGCATGAGCCTGGGAACCTGGGGACCTTCTGGTACGATGGTCAGATCCCAGGCTGGGGTTCCCTCTCTCCCTACAGGACAACTTTGCTACCAGTTCCAGTGACTTCTAGAACTCTCTGGTACACTTTTCTGTCTTAAGCCCTTCTGTGGACAGGAGGGTGTATCAGGGAAATGCTAGCTCAGCCACCTGCCAGATTTCTGTATTTCATATCTTTGGTGTCTGGACTGAGCCCAAGTCTCACTGTGTAGCCCAGGCAGGCCTTGAACCTGTGACCCTCCTGCCATTGCTGGGGTCAGAGGCTGCTCCACCAAGCACTTCTCACCCTTTTTGCGCCTCAGGTGCATGGTAGTGCCCACCACCAGGAAGATGAGTCCGAGAACCAGGCCACACACTCCCATCAGCATCTTGTTTCTGGCAGAGTCAGACCCGACCTCTGGAAAAGAGATTCAGAGTTTGCATCGGGTCCAGCAGGCACACATTCCTTACTGTCCTCTGGTAGGGATGCGAGGTACCAATAGGAAGGTCACTGAGAGGGACCCATCAAGGGGAAGAAAATGTAGGAGGTCTCTGAGGTCTAAACCTAGCTTGGTGTGGATTCTGGCAGCTGCCTCTGAGAACAAAGGCAGATTACAGACAGAATGAGGAAGTCATGCCTGCTGTGAGGGCACAGCAGGGGATGTCTGCTTCGTTAGACTTCCTGATAAGGGCAGATCCAGTATCCTCAACATCTACAGGCCAGGGACAGGCTCTCCTCTCAGGTCTCCAGCTCAGAACCAACCTTGGGGCCTCCAGGAAGTACAGGGTGATCAGGGGTCAATCAGGATCCAGCCTACAAACACCTAGGGGAGGATCATGGAACTTGAACCAGGGTGCCGCCAGCTCTACAGAATGTGGATGGAGAAGAGTCCCCAGGGTGACTCACTCCACTCTTCGATGATGGGGCTCTGAAGGCTGGGGTGCTCCACGTGGCAGGTGTAGACATCTCCCCACTGTGGGGTCATCTCCAGCATGACCAGAATCTGGAAGGTCCAATCCCCATTTCGGATCAGGTTGGTGGACACAACCCCAGTAGTTTCCTCCTGGCCATTCCGGAACCAGCGGACTTGAATGCTACCTGGGTAGAAATCTGTTGCGTGGCAGACCAACAGGTCACGGTGCTGCAGGGTCACCTTCTTGGAGGGTGACACATGTACCTTAGGCTGGACTAGGAGTGGAAAAGGAGTGACACGTGAGAGTGTGACTCTGGGACCCACCTTTAATTCCAGCACTTGGGAGGCAGAGGCAGGTGATCTCTGTGAGTTCAAGGCCAGCCTGGTCTACAGAGTGAGTTCCAGGACAGCCAGAAACAAATGATGAGACATTTCCTTTTTTCCAGTGGTGAGACTCCTGCCTTTTCAACACTTTGTCATGGTGAGAAGGATGTAGGATTCATTCAAATTAATTTCTTTTTAAGTTAACTTTTAAAGATTTATTTATATCATTTTATGTGTATGAATGTTCTGCCTGCATGTATGTCTGTGTACCATGTGAATGCCTGGCGCCCTTGGAGGTCAGAAGAGAATGTTGGATCCCTCAGAAATGGAGTTACAGATGGTTGTGAACCACCATGTGGGTGCTGGGAATTGAACCTGGGTCCTCTGTAAGAGCATCCAGTGCTCTAACCACTGAGCAATCTCTCCAGCTCTCAAATAATTTCTTGAAGTTAATGTACAGACAAGAACATCCATTGGCTTTCCAATATAATCATTTTTAAACATTTAAAGTATTTGTTTATATGTGTGTTTGTGTGTGGGTTTGTACATGTGAGGACAGTACCCGAGGAGGGCAGAAATTACAGGTGGTTGTGGCATTGACACGGATGCTGAGAACTAAATTTAGGTCCTTTGCTAGAGCAATTCTCATTCTTAACCTTGGAGCCATCTTCTCAGCCCACCCCCAATCCAATACATGAGACAAGTCTGTGTGACTCATAAAACACTCTGTATTTTACAGCCTCTGGTTTGTATAACCTCCAAGATCTCACTATTCACAGCAACCCCTTTAAAAACACTCTGTGGTCTGTGTGGGGAATTCTCACCCATTCCCAACTTTCCCTTTTTTTTAGGGGGTGGGGTGGGGTTGGGGTGGGGTCGGGGAGTGCTCAGGAAGCCACAAATTGATGTCTCTGCATCTCTCTCCTTGCTCTTTCCTTATTCACTTCCCTGATGCTCAAACTCAGCATCCATGCTGCTGTCCACTTTCTGTGACCTCACAGTGCTGGGAGAGTTGCTACTTTTGGACGTCTGCCACAGGTTGCACTCTCCTTCAGAGGCCAGAAAACAGTCTGCCCTGCAGAAAGGCTGATGCAGGGGATTTCCACACCACAGAGTCCTGGCCCCAAGACCTTATAGTTTCCAGTTTCTACACCAATACCCTGAGAATGGGGACACACTTCTCACAACTCACACTTATGCAACTCAAGCTAATGCTTTTTTGAAGCCGCTTGGGTCACTTTTATGAGCTGACAATTCCTCAGTCAGCTCCTTCCTAGGTTGTGATTTGTGAATTAAGAAACATTCCCCTCCCTTTGAAATCCTGGACTTCAAGTTTGTTTTGTGCCAGATACTTTGCCTGCAGCGATACAACTGACTTCTAGGGGGCAATAGAGCTAAATCTACAGGTCTGTGGGACTTAACTACTTTAACCAATATATTTCACAAAGACAAAAGATTTCCCATGTTGACTGGTCAACAAACATCCACATGATTATTTCTAGAATCGTATTGGTTATCTACACTAGAAATTTAGTCCAGATTGGTGCAGCGATGTAGTCCTGGGAGTCCCAAGCATTCCTAGGGCTTAAAGAAGGAAAAATCTGTAACTCAAGGGCAGCCTGAGTTACAGAGATGCTTTCTCAAGGGGGAGGAGATAATTAAGAGCACTGGCTGCTCTAGCAAAGGATCCAGGTTCAATTCCCACTACCCACATGGCAGCTCACAACCATCTATAACTGTAGTGCGAGGGAATATACACCTTCTTCTGGCCTCCACAGGCACCAGTATAGACACAGTACATAGATACACAGACACGCAGGCAAAACACCTGCACAAATAAAAATAAAAGAATCATAGCCTTTATAATTTTGTTCTCTGTTTTGTTAATTATTTGGTTATTTATTTTGAGTAATTTTAAGGTTAACCACAAAGGTATTTCCTCTCTCATAACTGATGCCATAATTGCTACAGCTAGGATGGTATTTCCTTATCCACTACGCTGACTCCAGCCTTTCCTCTTCCCAGCTCAGTTAACACTCTGAAAACATAGCTGCAACCTTGACATTTCTTACTTCAAAGACAGTTCCCTATAGTGCACACCCAGCTGTAATTCCAGGACTTTCTTGAGGCTGGTGGATGGTTCTAGTTAGTCCTGCCTAAGCTACACAGTGCAACAACAACCACCCTCGGGGTCTGCTAATACTTCCCTGTCATACCATCATCCCTGGGACACTAACTGAAAATCTTTCAGATCTCAGCATTATCATGTGTGGATCTGGATAGTGGTTCTGGGGGATCCGCTGAGCAGAGCAAGTCTAGGACACTCTGATTGGGGTGACTCACCCCCGGCACTCTGCATCTTGGTCAGTGAGCATACTGAAGGAAAGGATGCCAGCCTGCAATTGAGGGCAACCCCTGTGCTTTGGGTACCACCTAGGCTAGCTATTCTGTCATCTTTTCTAGCTCAGGTCACTGTTTTAACTCCCTCCCAATCTGTCTGGATTCTCACTCATTCCCAGGAGTTGGGGCTAAGCTGATGGCTGGGAGTCCCAATTTCCAAGGATAGTAATGTTAAGGGCATGTCCCAGCACACTCACTCCTGTGCCTGTGAAGGCCCTCCCCTGGCTTTTGCTCCCTCAGGTCTCTTCAGGATGCTCATCAGGTTCCCTCACTCCAAAAGCCCAGGGGGAAGGAGCCAGGGACCTTTACTTCCAGCCTTGCAAAATCCTGCACAGCTTCCCTCTCCCCCTCACTCTCTGAGCACCTAGTCTTCCTGTCTATCAGCTCTCTGGCTTCCCAACAGCCAACTTCTGCCTACTTACTTCCTGAAGCTGTTGGTCCCGCTGTTGTCTGTCATTCTCTCTACCTGTGACACTCCTCTGTTCCGGTTTTTACTTCACTTCGGTCTCCTGACAGGGATTGCTCTTAGCCAGCACCGGGTCTACTGTCCCGGGACTCAGCTTCATTCCCTTTGTTGATTTGTCTCCCTAGATGACCTCACCCAGCAAACCCTTCTACACCTGTCCTTCAGGCCTCAGTCCCCATTGCCCCCTTCCAACAGCCATGCTGCTGGAAATGGCACTTGAAGCCCATTTCTCCACAGTACACTGAGATTGTCCCATGGCCTGGCTCCCTTCACCCCACACCTGGTTACTAGACATGACAACGCTCTCGGCATTCCTCACTCCCACCTCTGTGTCTTGCTTTGCACGGTTGGCCCTGGCCCCTTTTCCCCACGGCTCTGCCTGCCCCGACCAGGTCGGTCTCCAGGCTGCTGGCCTTGCTGACCACCCGCCCGGACCTCACCTCGACGCTTCACGGTGAACCCCTGGTTCAGCTCGTAGTTGTGTCTGCACACCGTGTCCACCTCGGCCCTCCGTCGCTCCATGTAGTCCTTCTGGCTGTTCCAGGACTCGGCCCACGGCCGCCCCATAGCTGTGAGCGCCCGGAACTCGCCCACGGTGCTGTCGAAGCGCATGAACTCCTCGCGGTCCAAGATACATCTCATGATGTAGCGCTGAGTCCCGTTATTCTCCGCGTAGCACTCGTGCAGCGCGCGCAGCAGGTGGTTCTCTGTGGGCACAAGAAGCCAAGTCCTGGGGTGCTGGGACCCCACCTTTTCTCGCTCTGTCTCTCCCTCGTCTTTCTCTTTCATCTCTCCTTTCTCTCTTCTCTCTACCGCTTTCTCTTCCCCCCTTCTGTCCCCCCCTCCAAGTTCAATTAGTGATGCCCCGTGTGTGCTTGGCTGTGAAGCACAGGGCACAAACTAATGATCTCACATTCAAAAAGAAATGATTATGGAGTTTGGACAGGGGTGGTGAAAAGCCCTTATTGCTCCTGCAGAAGACCTGCACCCAGATGGTGGCTCACAACTGTCTGTAACTCCAGAGATCATCTGGTCTAGGCATGGAGGGGGAATACTGCCCTGGACTTTAATCACCGAAAATCACCACAATACAGCCTTAGTGGGTCCCTTTATTCCGAGAGGCACTGGCCCCATAACTGTTATAAAAAGGGACACGAGAACTTTCCCTCTCTTCCTAGAAGCTGCCAGCATGTGGGTCCATTCTGTTTGCTCTGTGTGAGTCTCTGTGGGTCTGTCATTATACATAGAGGGAAAATAGAGATGGTGTTGTTGTTTTCGGGTCCCCCCCCCCGAAAATCAGCATCTTAAAGCAAATCCTGCCTTCTTTCTGCCAACAATGAGCTCCAACACAATCCGTCCAGATCCGAAGAGAAAATGGAAAGCTGTTTGTACCACAAGAGGGAGCTCTAAACGTTCATTAACGTGCTTTATAAACAGCAGCCTGGGGCTGGGAGCAGCTTGACAATGGAGGCTTCCCTTGGATTCCATTCCTAGCACTGCAAGTAATAAACACACTAAACTAAATGACAGAAAACGAAACTAAACAAACTATTGCTTCATTTAAAAGAATACCAGGTGTTGGTGTGGTGGTACATGCCTGTAATTCCAGCACTTGAGAAGCTGAGGCAGGGGCATTGTGGAGAGCTGGAGGCCAGCCTGGACACTCAAAAAAAAAAAAAGGATGCCAGAAGTTAAAGGATGAAGTCTTCTCCATCTCACAGCTTCCAAGACCGTGCTATTAACACACCAATAGGACTTCCAGTGCATTTGATATAAAATGCTTGTTAATTAATTAATAATTTTTTTTTACCATGTCAGGGGGTGATGGAGATGAACTGGGAGGTGCTAAAGCCCAGAACCCAGACAAACCTGCGCTGTTTGCTGTAGCTACAAACATTGGGAAGCCTCTTGAGGTCAAGAGCAAACAAGCCTGGAGTGCAGGTACAGGGAGAGATGACTATGGGATGCTCTGGCGTTTTCTATCACCATATCAATGCCAGAACGACTAATTCATCCTGGTGGGCTTGGGAGGACCTGCCTGGCTGGGCCAGACACACGGCAGGGGGGGGTGTGTGTGAGAAAACCTAAGGACACCGTAATAGCCGACACACACTCTACTCAGGAGTCCTGACCAGCCTCCGTGGCAGGTGTCTCTCACTGAGCCCTGAGCCGAGTCCATCACTTCAGACCTGATTCTGCGCATGCTCTCTCTCCCTCTCCAGCCACCTACCTGCCTCTCCTTGCCCCCAATCAGGATGTGGTTCTTATTGTTTTAATCCATTAGCTTCTCTTTCTCCTCGTTTATCAATAAGTAATGTTTTTACAAAGCAAGGGAAATAACTTAAAACTTTTCTTTGGCAGTACTTGATTTTTGTAAATGGAAGTTATCCACTGAACTGGTGGAGCCTCCCTCCCCTGCTGTCGTTATTCACCCCTTCCCAGGTGACATCACCCCCCCGATTCCCAGGACCTCGAGGGCACAGTTTCTACAGCTGAGCAGTCCATTTGCGTGGGTCTCACAGCCTTCTGTGACCAACAAGGGCAGGTTCTGACTTCCTCCTCAGCAAATGCACCCGATGTCACAGGAGAAGTCCTGGGACTCCAGGGCTGGACTCGGGTTCAAATGCAGTTATTCCAGAAAAACAAGGCAAAACAAAGATGTTGCATTTTAGATCCATCCTAGAATGTGGTAAACTTAGAGTTTGCATCTCTTCCTACAGTGCTCAATGTAAATTTGGAGATGGAAGAAGCTTCCTGAGAAATGCTGAATCCCTTCAGCCACAGTATCACACAGGCCTTGGGGACGTGAGGTGGGTCTTCCATTAGCGGGCTGTCGCATCACCTACACTCATGTGTCTACACACCCTCATCCTTCCCTCCCGCAGATCTCAACCCACTCCAAGACAAGTGAGGGTCTCAGGAAGTTAGCCCTCAACAACAATGCCGTCGGAGCAGAACCTCACAGCCCATCTCACTTCTCTCAGTTAGTTGTCTAAGGCACAGGCAGGCTCCAGCCCCGCCCCAGAGGAGCAGAAGCAGCTCTCTTAACACTGAGTAAGTCAGGTGACATGAGTGTGTGTGATGGGGACCTGGGGAAACCCAGGAGGCTGAGCCTTCTGACCCCTCCATAAACCTTGCCCTGTGAATGTACTCTAGAACTCTAGGCCTGCTGTTTTCAGGACATGCATGCCAACCCCTTAACACCTCTGCCTGGTTCATTATGTCTGTCCCTGGGAGTGGGGAAAAACTGGCTGAACAGCAATGGGGAGGTGAGCCTGCTTTTCTAGCTGGGAAGGAAGGAAGGACACAGACTGTGGTATTTCTCACAGTATGGTCCTATAAGGGGAAGGTCCTGAGCCCAGGCCCTCCAGAGTTGCTGCTGTGCTTGGTCTTACCTGGAGGGCCCCCACCCTGGATCTCTCTGCTCAGCAACACCATCATAGCTGCTATCCAGGGGGCCACAGGGATGCACAGGACCATTGTGGAGCTGGAAGGGTGGGCGAGATGAGAAAAGTATAGCCAGGGGATGGAGGACTCCCCAGCTGGGCTCCTGGATGAACAACCGAGACTACGGCTACAGTTGTCTGCTACAACCCCAGAATCTGACAGAGTCTGAGGAAAGGTCCAATCAGGCTTGAGCTTCCTATGAGTCATCAGTCACTGGGTAGATGGTGTGAGAGGCCTGACAACTTAGTGGGTGATGCAGATGAGATGACATCAGAGGCCAGAGGACAGTCATGTTTGCTCTAATGACCTGGGTGCATCCTGAGATTTGGGGAGAGAATGTGTTCTTTGCTCTGAGCATCATTCAGCTGACCCATCTCTGGGACTGGCATTTCTCCAGTCCCACTGTGACCTCTCACACCCTCACAGGACAGGACGGAGCAGGTGTCATCTTAGGGTGGGGAAGGCCTTTCACCGGCATGATTTGTAGAGTTTACTGTGAGCATCCCAGAATTCAGAATGAGTCCTGGTTCTGTCAGCATTTCTCAGGAAGCTTCTTCCATCTCCAAATGTTCCGGAGAATCACCCACCCCCATTGTCTTTGCCTCAGACGTTGGTCCTGGAGGGTACAGGAGTCCTCTGACCTGTGAGTATGCCAAACCTAGTTATGTAAATATGTGATTTTAAGTTCTGGGGCACTTGAACTGTCCCTATGATGGAGCCGGTTTGAACCGACTTACAGTAACCTTGTTAAGGTCATGTGACAGAAACAGAGATTAAACTGTTTCAAGACAGTCCTCCCACGTGAATACGAACGGACTGGCAAACAAGGTGAGAAACATCAACAACTACCACAGCCCAACCTCCTGCATAATATCTGATTAGGTCACATTTATCACAGATATTTTCACCAACTTCCAAAGGGGATCATTCCCTACTTTATAATTTATAGCTGAATTCTTCGAGGCTACAAATTCTGGTGAAGAAAACATTATGTTGGCATCATTTCCTTATATAGATATTAAATTGTTAATGAAACATTATCATATAGTCCTCCATCAAGAGAAGAAAATAATTACATAACATAAAACCTCCATTGGATATGTAGAATCTGAGAAACATAACCTCAGTTCTCTAGAGGCTCTAGGGATCCTGGCTGGAGGCTCCTTGTCACTCATTTGCTAAGTACAGAAAGACACTGCTCCTCAGAAAGGAGGAAGCTGGGTAGAAATGGGGAGGGGTTCCATGAAGACAAGACCCCAGGGGTCACCCAGTTGGGATGGGGCTGACCCGCTCCCACCGACCAGCAGGCATGGGGACACTGACTGGACGTCCTGCACTGCTTCCATGACGTTGATCTCACACATGAGCTTCTTCGTCACCCAGTCAAGGGCGGCCACGTGACCCCGACGACCCCCTAATGCCAGGTGTCTGCTGGATGTGAAGCAAAGGCAGCGTTGATGCAGGCCCCACCCTGAGCTGACTGGAATCATTCAGTCAGCCCCACCCCAGCCCCTCGACAGACAGGACGAGCTGCTGTAGTCAGCAACAACCAGACTGAGGGAGGCTCCTGTAGCTGAGGAAACACAGCCACATCTTAGTTCACCAGTCACAGGAGGGGCCAGGTCTTAGTTCACCAGTCACAGGAGGGGCCAGGGGGAGACAGCTTGCAGGAAAGTGTAACGTTAGACCTGAGCCTGGATCCCAGTGCCAGGAAGGCCAAGACAGGCAGATAATCTTGCTGGACACAGTGTAGGCAGCCAATGAGCTCCAGGTTCAGTGAGAAACCCTGCTCAAAAATAAGGTGGAGGAACTAAAGAGATGGCTCAGAAGTGAAGGACACTTGCAGCCCTTATGCAGAACACTGGGTTCAGTCCCAGCACCCAAACAGTGGCTCGCAACTGTCAGTAACTCCAGTTCCGGGGATCCGGCACCCTCTTCTGGCACCAGGCATGCATGTGGTACACATACATGCGCATAGGTCAAACACTCACACACATAAAACTAAAGGGAAAATGTTAAAAACAGTGGACAAAACATCAGAGATAATCTGGTGCCGAGGGTGGTAGGGAAGACTTTCTATTAAATAGTAGAACATTGCACAGACATCAGGCACCAGGAAGGTGTGTGTCTTACCCTCTCAAGTCTCTACCCTCTACCCCACATGACTGCAGCTTCTGAAATCCCTCCTTCCTCCTCTCTAGCCCCTTTTACCTAGCAACAGCCAGGTCAGCTCTCTGGCTTCTCTGATTGGCTGACCCAGCCTTGCCTGTTTGCCCTGTCTTTTCACCTGAGTAGTTAGGCTTTGGAAGCCGGAAGCCCTGGTTTCAGAGGGTCACCCTTGTCAACCGTCCCCATTCTGCTTGCGTTCTTCATCACTGTCCTGTGATCAGAGCCGTCAGTGTAGATCCCCAACCTGTGTTCTGAAGAGAGGATGTTCCAGACCAAAGCTGAGGCCCTGACAGCCTCCTTCCTGGCCTTCCTGCTGAGTCTCCCAGGATCTGGGGCCATCAGAGGTCAGGAGGATGGTGGGGGAGGGAGACCTGGGGCCATCAAAGGGCAAAGGTCAGGAGGATGGGGGACTCTGGAGTCACCAAGGTCAAAGGTCATAAGGATGGGGATCACAAGGTGAGGCTAGACAGCTGTTTACCCTGTTTAGAATAAGCCTTTGCCTGACTCAATCCCTCTTCCTCATGCCTCTTCCCTTCTGTGAAGTTCACTTGGTTTCCTCCTGCTCTAATAATCATAAAAACAAAAGCAAGGGGGTGCTGGAGAGATGGCTCAGTGGTTAGGGGCAGTGGCTGCTCTTCCAGTAGGACCCAGGTTCAATCCCAGCACATATGTGGCAGCTCACAACTGTCTGTTAACTCCAGTTCCAAAGGATCTGACGCCCTCTTCTGGCCTCTGTAGGTACCACACACACACACACACACACACACACTCACACACACACCCTCTCTGAGAGTTGAAAACACTGAAGTCAAAAAGATTAAAATATGTTCCAAAGTTGTTCCCCCAGTCAGGGGTCAAGGTTAAAATCCACACACAACTCTGATGACAGACTAACTGCTCAGGAGGACTTTACAGATGAACCCAGCCAGGGCCCCATGAGCCCAGCTCCTCAAGCCCTGCTTGTGTGGAACCTAGCCGAGCTTTCCTCCCTGCTTCCCAGGGTCTTTCCACTGTGGGCAGTTTGTGCCTTCTTCTCACAAGAGAGTAGAGTTTCACAATTTTGTTAGTCTTGTGAGTCAGATCCTCAGTGAGCCATGAGACTCTTATTACATGGAGAGGTGTGGACTTGAGGGCCACAAAGACCTGGCTAGAGATTACAAACCACAATGTGCTATGTCTTCTGCTGAAGCCAGGAAGCACCAAGCCCATGCATGATGTCATCCAAAGGTGCAGAGGTGGGAAGGGCAGGTGTGGGGTGGGGAGCAGAGATAGTGACTTTTGTTTTTTGTTTGTTTGTTTGTTTCGAGACAAGGACTTATCCTGTAGTCCTTGCTGACCTCTGACCTAGAATCTTTTTGTAGACTGGGCTGGCCTTGGACTCAGAGATTCATCAGCCTCTGCCTCTCGAGTGCTGAAGTTAAAGGTGTGTGTTATCACAGCTAGCCACTTTCTCCTTTCTTAAATGGTTCCACACCCTTGCCTAGGGAATGGTGCTACCCACAGTGGGCTGGGTCTTCCTACTTCCTACTGTTGTCAGTAACATCAGTCCCCCATAGACAGAGGCCAACCTGATTAAGACAGTCCTCACTGAGACTCTTGACCTGGGTGACCTAGGTTGTGTCAAATTGATGGGTGAGATCGACCAGCACAACCCAAGCCTCAGCAACTTCACACAAACACATCTCTTGAATTCATAGCCCTCCCACCGCTGTTCTGAGAGTCTAGAGTCAATAGAAAATAAAGCTCAAGGTCTTTACACTTTTCAATGCTTCAAAAGTTCAAACTCTCCTAACTGGTAGGTTCTATAAAATAAAAAGTAAGGGCCGGGCAATGGTGACAAACTCCCAGCACTCTCTCTCTTTGAGTTTGAGGCTAGCCTGGTCTACAAAGAGAGTTCCAGGACAGCTGGAGCTGACAGGAAACACTGTCTTGAAAACCAAAAACAAACAAACAAACAAACAAGCCAAACATGAACTACCAAATAAATATCACCCTTGCCTGTGCACAACATCCCCGATGGGCATTGTCTGTGTAGCTCTCTTGTTGGATGACTGTAACCTCTATATGTAACCTTATAGCTTACAATCCACTGAGGGGACTCAGGGCAGGAAGTTGGAGGCAGGAGCTGAGGCAGAGGCCATAGAGAAATGATGCTTACTAGCTTGCTCCTCAAAGCTTGTTCAGCCTGCTTTTTGTTTGTTTTGTTTTTCATCTACCTTTCAGGCTACACTCTATAGCCACTGAGACTTCCTAAATCACCAGTCTGATGTCACTCCCTGTCAAAAATTTTTAAAAGGTTTCCTGGCTTTCGGGTTGACATCAAACTCCTGAGGTTGAGAAGTCACCTGTTTCTTCCTGTCTCCTGCTCCACATGTGAAGTTCACTGTAGAACTCTCTGTAGTTCTCTGAATGCCTTGAGCATTCCTCCCGAAGTGGGAAATGGCATTTCCCTTTGCCCACAGCTTCAGCCCAAGCAGTCTGTTCATGGGGAACTGTGCCTTCCCAGACAGCATTCAGTGCTTGCCAAAAGCTCTGCAACCCTATCCTTTCCAGCCTCTTCTGTCTGCTTCCTGCTGCCGTTGGTGTGTCGGGGACAGGAACCAGTTCACATTTCTTCACATTTCTGCTTGGATTGGACTCTCTTTCTCTTTCTCTTTCTCTCTCTCTCTCTCTCTCTCTCTCTCTCTCTCTCTCATGTGGAACAGGCACCCCACCTCTGAGCTGTCTGAGGTTCTTCCATCTTTCTGTACTTTTTATTTTGAGACAGTCTGGGACTAAATTGTCCAGATTGGGCTTGAAATCGAAATCCTTCTGCCTCAGCTGAGCTGGAATCTGCCTGTAGCACTAGGGACATATGGAAATGGTGTTTGGAAGAAAATAAATTGTGTCATGTCTGAGTGATCTTTAAAACTCAGAATCTGTATAAATGTTTAAAAAGTATAAGCCATTTTTTAAAAAAAATATTTATTTATATTTTATATACATTGGTGTTTTGCTTGCATGTATGTCTGTGTGAGGGTGTCAGATCCCTTGGAACTGGAATTACAGACAGCTGTGAGCTGCAAGGTGGATGCTGGGAATTGAACCCAGAGCCTCTGGAAGAGCATTCAGTGCTCTTAACTGCTAATCCATCTCTCCATCTTTTGTTTGTGTAGCCCTGGCTGTCCTGGAACTCACTCTGTAGACTAGGCTGTCCTCAAACCCACAGAGAGCTGCCTGCCTCTGCCTCTGCCTCTCCTTTTTCACCCTGTTTGTTATGGGCAGTTTTCCCACCTGCCTGGTCCCACAGCCGTGTCAGCCCCTAAATAACACACAGAGACACTAAATTAGACATAAAGCAGTTGGCCTGTTACTCTGCCTTCAATATTAACCCATTGCTATTAATCCAAGTGTTTCCACGTGGTCTTATCTTACTGGACAGAGGGTCTGCACCTCTTCTCTCAAGTCTCTACATCTTGACTCTCCCTACTACAACTCCCAGAATCCTCCTTGTCTCCTAGTCTTGCCTACCTTGCCTTCCTATTTGCCAACAGCGCTTTATTCATTAACCAATAACATATATACAGAATGACATCTCCCATCACTGTTTTATGAAGAAAATTCTTCTGATTCATGAGGAAACTGAGAGCCTTCTGAGAGAACATTCTTGCTGCTTCTGTGTAGTCCAAGCATAGACACTCCCACTTGCTGGGGCCAAGGATCCAGCAGAAGAGGCGGGGACTCCCATCCCTTCCCAGCCTCTTTCTCCCATTATTTCAAGTCCAGAACACTAACATGTTCATCACGTTATTACTAATGATAGCTTGTCTTGTATTTGCTATTTCTTACAAACTAATAAAGACTAAGAAAAAAATCAAAACCACACAGGTATTTAATATTCAACAAGTTCTGTAATTCCATTAAAACAAAAGTAAAAAAAAAAATTAAAGAAAAACTTTTTAAAATTAAAAACAACCTGAAACCATTGTCAAAAATCTATCCTATTAGATGTAATGTGCTCAAGAGTGAAAAAAACATATGAAGTCACGACATTAGCAGATACTGCAGGTGTGAACTTAAGTAAAACAGAAACATGGGGACCATAAAGAGCACTGCAACACAGTAACTTTCCCCCCAACTTTCTCTTTCCCCCTTTTCTGCAAAAAGGAAACCAGCACACCTGCCCCTCCACCTCTGTGAGTTTAAACCTAATTTCACATCGACAGCTCTGGAACTGAGAGCTGTGGGGAGAAGACAGTCTCTCTCCCAGTTTCTCATCGCTGTGTGACCTGATGCAAGTCACATACCCACTCTGAGTTTGCTTCTAGGGGTGTTGTGACATCCACATGAGTCAAAGACATAGCCTACTGTCAGATGCCTGGTGCTTAGCAAGTTCTCAACAGAGGTTCCTGTCATTCCCAGGACCCCAGCAGAGTCACGGGGTTCCACCTAGGAGTGAGCAGGGGCAGTCTATCTTCTTCCCCCTACCCCCACCCCGTTTACCTCCCCCTGCTGTTTGCTGCTGCTCCTTCTCTCCCATATTTCCCTCTTTTGGCCTCTTCTGACTTCATTAATAAATCCAGCTGCTGCCTCACCACTACACAGTAGTTCTTAAGATTTGTCTCATTTTTCTCCATCTTGTTTATACAGCGGATCACATAGCAATGTATGACATATTTGCACAGACGCAAAAGCCATCGGGTGACTGCATGTACGAGTTTGACGGTGATGAGCAGTTCTATGTGGATCTTGACAGGGAAGAGACTGTCTGGGGCCTGCAGGATTTCAGCACAGTCTATGGCTTTGACGCCCAGGGAGCTCTGTCCTACATCCTCAGCCTTAAGGACAACCTGAGGGCTTTGATCCAGAGACACAACATCACCCAGGTCCCCAGTGGTGGGTGTTCTGTTTCTTCCTCTGCCACCCAGTGGGAGGGGTGGGAAGGTCTGGTCCTGACCTCCCTGACCTCTCAGCTACTCTTCCCATTCGTGAGATGCTGGGTGAGGAGAGGCTGCTCAGTGGCAAGAGGTGATGTGAATTCTAAGCCTGAGACAGAAGATGCCCGGTGAGAGCTTGGTGACTACCCAGAGCTCACCAGCTTCTGTCTCTTCCCAGAGCCTCCAAATGTGATCGTGTTCCCCAAGAACCCAGTGGAGCTGGGCCAGCCCAACATCCTCATCTGCCACGTGGACAGGTTCTTCCCTCCGGTGCTCAATGTCACATGGCTTCGAAATGGGCAGTTGGTCACTGAAGGGACTTCCGAGACTGCCTTTCTGCCCAGCACGGAACTCAGATTTCAGAAATTCTACTACCTGACATTCATCCCCATGGCCAAGGATGTGTATGACTGTAGCGTGGAGCACTGGGGCCTGAGCCAGCCGAGCCTCAGTCACTGGGGTAAGCACCTCCCTCCCCACTGCTCACCCATGCCTCTGATCCTGGGATCTCATGCCCAGCAACCCACTGTCTTAACTGCATCTTTTCATATCCCTCAGAAATTCCGGAGCCACTCCAGGTGACCGAGACAATGGAGACTGTGGTCTGCGCCCTGGGCCTGGTGGTGGCCTTGGTGGGTATCGTCATTGGCAGTGTGCTCATCATAGGGGCTCTGCGCTCTGATCACGACCCCCGTGGCCCAGAGACCCCTGTGAGTGACTGTGCAGGTGAGGATGTTAGGACACAGTCAGAGGACAAAGGAGGGAGTCCATGCCTGCTGCGCAGAAAGGAGGGAACATTCACATTGGTGAAGTAGACACGGATCTCTCGACTAAGCTATGTGAGCCAACCCTGACAACCCACCGAGAACCCAAGGCCTACCTGAGCCTCGCACTTACAGCATGTTGTTATCCCTCCTCGATGTGATGGTACTAACCTCACTGTGGTTTTGCGCTTGGGACATGCTTACAGCATGTATGTGCACAAGAGCATGAAGCACCCTCACCAAGGCCACACAGGCTGTCTGGATCCAAAACGGCTCCCTTACTGTCCTGTGCTCCCTTCTACATATGAAGAAAGGGATCGAGTTCAACCACGGTCTGGCCTTGGATCCAGACAGTCCTGAGCATGCGCACGCTTGCGGGGACCCTGTGACGGTGCCTAATGCACAGCTTCCCATCTCCACTTGAACCCACTGATGGCAAAGCTCACATAAAAATTCCCTTCTGGGCTTCTAGTTATCAAAACACTTATATCTCGAATACTCGAGTTTTTAAATTCTGCCGCCTTCATTGTTGTCTTCATTCAGTCTGTGCCCCGGAGCCAAGGTTATGTCACCACCCCACAGAGGTCCTAGGGACAGTCAGGACACCCCTGTCTGACTCTGTTCATTTGATCTTCTGTTCCCTTACTCTCAGGTCTAACCTCTTCCCCTGCACCATGTATGAAACACTAATGGATTTAGTGAATTTCCTGTCACAGATTGTTACCATGTGCAACGTGTGTAAGCATTCACTGTATCCGCGGCTTTAGCGAGCTCAGACCGTACCGCACCATGAGTCTAATTTGAACCTCTAGTTGCTTTCAGTTGTTCAGTATGATCCTGCTCTAACCACCCACCTGTCTCTACACCCTCTGGGACACCTGGATTGTGTCTGAGTATCTCTTAATAGTCTCACATAGACCTGCATCTCTGGGATGCATGGACCTTAAAAAGCAGTTGCAAGGAGCTGTGCATGCGACCTGTTCCCTTGCCTGTGTGCCACTCCTACACGGCTACTGCTGTGTTGGTCTCAGTTCCCAGTCTCCCGCAGTGTCTAACAGCCACGTCCACACTGTGTCTCTTTGCCTTTATGCTTCCTTGTGAGGAAAGAAACATGCTGCTGCTGTCCACCTTCCTTTGGTTACTTCTAGTTGTGACCATCTTTGCTTGTGGCCACTTAGGCTCCATTGTTCTTGTTCTGGTAGTTTCTGGCTTGCATCCTTTGCCCATTTTTTGGAGTCAATGCTCCTGTGGGAAGCTGAGGGCTGGGGTCTCCTCTGTCATTGAGCTGCTGGGCTTCCTTTCTCTTGATGGTTTCCTGCAAGCCACGAGGTTTTCTGTGCGGCTGACTTTGTCATAGAGACTCGTGGGAAGACAGGTTCCTCATAGGGCAACGTGGAAGGGAGACATGAGCAAAAGCCTTAGGCTGTCCTGTTGAACACGTCCTGCTACCTCCTGCACAGGACTTCCTATGGGAACTGAGCCCTCTGTACTTCCTGAGTCTAAGCAGTCCCTCAGGCTCTGGTTTTCTGTAGACTTTTATAATTTTCCATGGAGTGTGAGGGGAGGAAGCTGGCACCTGTCCTAGCTTGTAGCCTTATAATAAGAAGCCTGTCTGTCCTCCCTCCTTCCCTATTTCCTTCCTTGCTTGCTTGCTTTTTCTTTTAACAGAGTCTCATTATGTAGCCCGGTAGGCTGTCCTGGAATTTTCTATGTTGCCTGGCTGGCCTCAAACTCACAGAGTTTGCCTCTCAAACCCTAGGATCAAAGCCATGCACCTCCATGCCTGGCTAGAAGCCCCTTCTTAATGATTTTTATCTGTAGTGGTTAGCACAAATCTCAGTATTTAGCAATTCTTCCATATATATCTGTTGACTTGCTGGAAATAATATTTACGCCAACACTTACATGTTTAGCACCTCACTTGCCAAAAGCTAGGAGCTGGCTATGGACTGTACAATGGTAGGAACACTCTGTGGCACCATCATTAGAACATGGCATGACAATATTATAATTGTCACCATGGTAGAAAAGTACATCCTATAAAGCTTGAGCAAGGTTACAGTGAAGCCTCATGGGAAACAGGGCTGAGAAACTGGACCTATATAAAGAGAAGGGGAAGGCAGGTTAGACTCCATCCTGAACCTGAGGTGGATGTTGATTGTGTGTCTGGCTGCAGGTGATGATGTTTCTGAAAAGGTGCCCTGGACTTGTCTCTGTCCTCAGTTGCTATGTAACCCTAGCTGTCCTGGAGCTCTCTATGTGACTTTGAACTCACAGAGGGCTCTGCCCCTCTGAAAGGCTCGGTGACCTTAAAGCACTTGGCCCTAGTGTCATGCCAGCAAAGCAAAGGTTGCTGTATTTCTCACCAGCCTGGACACCCCTCCCCTGGACACCCTTCTCTGGGCTCCCACAGCTCTGGGTTCCTGCATGAACACTTCTCTGCCTCCTTCCAGAGAATTACTAAGAACAACTTTTCCTGTTTCTGAGCAGGGAGATTCAGTTTTGCTGGATGGACCAGCTCATTTATGACCAATGTCTCATGACAATGTGGCTTCAAGTATCACAATGTGAGCAATTACCAAGGGCTCTGAGTTCATTTTCAGGGAGAGTTTGAGAATTCCGGCTGGCCCTGGAGAGGGGACAACAGTAAAATTTACTTGGATAAAGATTTGTTTATATGTAGTTTGCAACAAGTTGGAGTTCCCCTAAGGGAGAGATTGGGTCCTCCCTCTAGTTTGGTTGTAATAAAACATCTTTTGGTGAACTTTCACTTCTTCTTCTAATATATTAGTTAAAATTAAAATGGTATCTCATGGGCATTTTCAAATTCAACCATTTTTATTTACAACTAGAAATGGAAATAAAATCTACACCCACCTTACGGGTGCTGGGAACCAAACCTGGGTCCTCTGCAAGAGCAGCCAGTGCTCTTAACCTCTGGGCCATTTCTCCAGCCCTCCTTGATTCTTGTTGTTGTTTTGTTTTTCGAGACAGAATCTGGTCTCACATTTATGCAGTCTTCCTTAGCCTCCTCAATGCTGGGATTACAGGTGTGAGCTATGATGCCTGACTCAAAGTCTTCTTATATTTAGAAATAAAAACATGCAGGCCGGGAAGTAGTGGCGCACACCTTTAATCCCAGCACTTGGGAGGCAGAGGCTGGCTGATCCCTGTGAGTTCAAGGTCAGCCTGGTTTATAGAGTGAGTTCTAGGACAGTCAGGACTACACAGAGAAAGTCTGTCTTGAAAAACCAAAAGCAAACCAACCAAACAAAACCCACAAAGCTGCACTTGGGCACCTCTCTTGATGAGTTGCCGGGAGATTCCCATCTCAAAACCACTCAACTTCACTCATAGTTACTAGATAGAGAAGCCACCACAGTTACCATGATTTCCCTGGGACTTACCCATCATTTGTCTTGCTGTTCCAGGACTCTAGCCTCACTGGAGAAGAGACTAAGATGGGGAGGACCTATACAGGCTGGGCCAAGGATGGGAGCAGGTTCCCTCGTTTGGGCAAATGTCTACCAAAAGAACTCTGCACCAGGCCTTGTTGTCAACATGGGGGAAAGAAACAAAGGAAAGAGGTAGGAGCCCATCAGCTGGGCCACTCCTAAGGGCTAATCTTTACAGCCAGAAGTTGTGGCCATTTCCCTCAGATCAGGAACCCCCTCTGCCCCAGGGAAAGGGCATCAAAGGGATTTTTTTTTTTTACCAGAATGAAGACTCACAAAGATTGCTCATGAACCACCCTGGGCTAATCCCACTTAGTCCTGCATGAAAATCCAGAAAGCTGTATTTGTTGAATAACAAATAGATATGGATTTTTAATAAGATGTATTAATTTTTTGTAATTTAAAAAATGTATTATTTGGAAGTGTTTGTGTATGCTCACATGCCATATGTGGTTGGACATGTGTAGGTGCATATACATGGGATTCCAAGGATAATTTTGTGAAGTTGGATCTTTCCATTTTTACATGGGTTTCAGGAATTGGATTCAAGTTGTGAGGCTTTCATGGCAAGCACCTTTACCCGCTGAGCCATTTTCTGGCCCAATATCAGAAGTGTATGGGGTTTTTTGTTTTGCTTTGGAAAATATTTAATTTTTATTTTGATATGTATAGTGTTTGTCTGGGTGTATAGACACCACATGTATACAGTGCCCATGGAGGCCAGAAGGGGGCATCAGATCCCTGGGAACTGGAGTTACTGATGGTGGGGTGTCACCTTGTGTGGGTGTCGAGAACCTGACCCAGATCCTCTGCAAGGGCAGCCAGTGAAGCATCTCTACAGTCCCTGATATGGAATCCTTTCAACATGAACACACACACACACACACACACACACACACCTGAGAGTATAGGTGCCCACTGAGACTAGAGGCATTTAGGTCCCCCTGGAGTGGTAGTTATGGGCTGTTTTAAGCTGCCTCCTGTGGTTACTCTTTCTAAACTCTAATCCTCTGGCAGAGCCATTTCCAAGCCTACCTCCATGTACTGGCTGGTTTTGTGACAACTTGACACAAACTAGCGTCATCAGAGAGGAAGGAGCCTTAGTTGAGGAAATGCCTCCATGAGATCCAGCTGTAGGGAATTTTCTTAATTAGTGGCCAGTGAGGGAGAGCCCAGCCCATTGTGGATGGTGCTGTTGGTTCTGGGTTCTAAGAAGGGCTAAGCAAGCCACGAGGAGCAAGCCAGTTAGCAGCACCCTCCATGGACTCTGCCTCAGCTCCTACCTCCAGGTTCCTCCCTGTTTGAGTTCCTGTCCTGACTTCCTTCAGTGATGAAGTGTAAGTCAAATAAACCCTTTAAACCTTTTTCTTCCCAACTTTCTTTTTGGTCATGGTATTTTGTTGAAGACACCACCTTATTTTTTGAGAAGGTGTCTTTCACTGAACCTGGAGCTCACCTATTTGGCTAGACTGGCTGGCCAACAAGTTTCATGTTCTCTGCACTACCAAGCCTGGGGGTTATAGATGGTGTTGCACCATACCTGGCCTTTTCTGTGTCCTGGGAATCCAGACTTAGGTCTTCATGCCTGTGTGGCATTTTACCCACAGCCCCAGAAGTTTGTACTTGTTAAAACTCCATGGGCAGCTGAGAGGTGGTGATGCACTCCTTTAATCCCAGCACTCAGGAGGCAGAGACAGGTAGATCTCTGTGAGTTAGAGGACAGCCTGGTCTACAGAGTATATTCCAGGACAGCCTCCAAAAGGTAGAGGAAACCCTGTCTTGAAAAACAAAAACAAAAAAAACAAAACAAAAAACAAAACTGTAGTGAGATAGTTCTGTGGCACTGACCAATCCCATTGGGGGTGGATCCATGGGCAGAGTCACCTGTGGAAGGAGGTTGGAGGGGGCCAGGAAAGGCGCTCTCTTTCTGGCGTGACTCGGACAGGAGAGGATCGGGTTGAATTTCCTGGTGTTCATCTGTCTAGGTTGTAAGTTATTTCTCCCTGAATAAACATCTATTCGGCCTATTTGTTTATCCTGATCCTTATTTACCGCGATACAAAACAAAACAAAACAAACAAACAAACAAAAAAGCTCAGGGTAACTCTTTGGAATAAAAGATCCAGGAGATTTTTCAGATGTAGCCAAGCTTGAAAATCCTTTATTTCAGCATCTTTGGCAAATGGTTTTCAGAAGTTTGATGAGAGTTTTTTTTTTTTTTTTTTAATCTGGATAGACAACTATCTATTTTTATTTTCTTTCTCTTTTTGAGACAAGGTCTCTCTATGTAGCCCTGGCTGGTCTGAAACAAAATCTGTAGACCAGGCTGGCTTTGGACTCACAGAGATCCATCTGCCTCTGTCTCCAGAGTGCAAAATTAAAGGTGTGGCTATCAGGCCTGACATCTCTCTAGTTTCTTACAGGATAAAATAAAATGATGTTTTTGAAAATGATTTTATTCTGTAGTTTATTTTATCCAATGACTTCTCTTTAAAGTTTCTTGGGGTATTTTATTTCATATTTTTTACCCCAAGTTTGTCCTGATGCTTTGTCCCAGCACAGCCTTTTGGTGCCCTGAGACCTCCCTGATCCTTCCTGAAGCCCCTTCTTGGAGGATGAAGTGACAGGTGACCCATGGCCTCCATCCTCTACCTTCTCACCCAGACTCTTTGTTTCTTTACCTGGCAACAGACCCGTTAACTCAGAGAACTGCTCTGATTGGTTGTTTGCAGCAAGGGTCTTCCCCTAATCTAGATCTGTTTGTCTTTACCTCCATCTTGCTCCCTCACTCCCCAAATAGACGTCGTTAAAGTGCCCCCCCCAGCAATGGTCCTCCCTGTGGAGCTGGTCCTAGCTTTCCATACCCTGATAAGCATCCTGAGTCCCCAGGGAGTATGGGCCATCAAGGGTAAGTTCTGGGACACCTGGGGGTAGGAGGAGACATAGGGTGACACTCTTCCTCTGTGCTAGCATAATGTCTCCCTCTCTCTTTGGTATTTGGGCAACCCCCTCCACCCGCAGACAAATCCCTGCCACTCTACCACGTCCCCTCCAGAGACAGCTTTGGGATGGGCCAGGGTCTCCTCTGGGCCCCTTTTACAGAGCCCTCCTTCTTCCTTCCTCTTTCCTGAGACCACGCTCTCACCGCCTCCCTACACAGCACTCTGGCTTCTCTACCACTTCCTGGCTTGCAACACGCAATTCCCATTCGGCTTTCCTGAAGCTCCACTGTGTTTATATGTGAGCTCCTGGCCTATATACACAGCCCCTCACATCCAGCTTGTAACTGTAGAGCTCAGTAAGGGCTGAGAGGTAGTCCTTGGTATCCAGGAAACTGAGCATTCTGCCATGGGGTAAGACTCATTCTATCATCGCTCTGAGACATTAGCTGGGATGGCCTGATTATTATTATTATTATTATTATTATTGTTGTTGTTGTTGTTGTTGTTGTTGTTGTTTTCTGAGACAGGGTTCTCTGTGTAGCCCTGGCTGTCCTGGAACTCACTCTGTAGACCAGGTTGGCGCTGAACTCAGAGATCCTCTGGAGTTCTATTATGGAATTAAAGGTGTGCACCACCACTGCCTGGCTTGAACTCCTGACTTTATGTCCAGTGTGCCTTAAAATGCTTCGGGTTCTTCTCTCTCCCTCTACACCCCCAAGTGTTTATGACACAGAGTTTCATTGAATTAATTATGTAGCCCCCTGATCCTCCTGTCTCCACCTTCCGAGTGCTGGGGTTGCAGGACTGTGCCTGGTTTGTGGAAAGCTGTCTTCCCCCTCACCCCAGTCTTTGGGTCATGGATCTTAACTCACACCCCTGTCTGTCACTGTCCCTAACCCACTCCTATACCGCCTCTCTTTGCCAAAAGCTCCCTCCTCCTCAGTACTTCCCTTTAACCATTTCCTCCTCGCCCCAAATTTACCATCTCACACACAAGAGCTGACAGCTGGCAGATAGTGTAGGACTGGAAGCCCTTCCCAGCCTGCTTTGCTAGCTCCACCCATTCGTGCACTGGCCACACCCTTCTGTCCTCTCCCATCTCTCTGCAACTCTTCAAGGGTTTGCTATTGCATATCTGAACTGTCCCCATACACAGCCCAGGACAAGGCCAGGCTGAGACACTCACATCTGAGTGACACACACTTCTCTTTTCCTTCATCCTGGCCCTCCTGCAATACAGCAGACCACATGGGCTCCTACGGACCAGCCTTCTACCAGTCTTATGATGCTTCTGGGCAGTTCACGCATGAATTTGATGGGGAACAAATTTTCTCTGTGGACCTGAAGAACAGGGAGGTCGTGTGGCGTCTGCCTGAGTTTGGGGACACCCTATACTCAGACTTTCAGAGTGGCCTGACAAGCATCGCCATGATCAGAGCTCACCTGGACAGCTTGGTGGAACGCTCCAACCGAACCAGAGCCATCAGTGGTACCTGACCCTCCCTCTTCCCCACCTAACTAGGCAGGGGAGGGGAGTGGACAGGATCCCCAATCCCTCTCCAGAGTCCTCCCATCCCCTCCTGCCCCAGGAGACACCACCCCAGAGCACTCTTGCAGGTGGCCACATGGGAGGGCTGTCCCTTAATCTTGGTCCTAGCAAGGCCCAGCTGTAAGGGTCTCATCCCTCCCAGTGCCTCCCAGGGTGACTGTACTCCCCAAGTCTCGTGTGGAGCTGGGAAAACCCAATGTCCTCATCTGCATCGTGGATGATATCTTCCCCCCTGTGATCAATGTCACCTGGCTGTGCAACAACCAGCCTGTCACTCAGGGAGTGGCCCAGACCAGCTTCTACTCCCAGCCTAACCACAGGTTCCGGAAGTTCCACTACCTGACCTTTGTGCCCACGGTGGAGGACATGTATGACTGCAGGGTGGAGCACTGGGGCCTGGACGAGCCACTCCTCCAGCACTGGGGTAAGCAGCCTCTCTGTAGCCTGTTGGTGTCCAAATCTCCTCTACTCCAGATGCCCTCCTGTGACCTCTGATCCTCAATTTTTCTCCCAGAGCCCCAGGTGCTTACCCCACCACCAGATACCACGGAGACCCTGGTCTGTGGCCTGGGCCTGGCCCTCGGCTTCATGGGTTTCCTTCTGGGCACCGTTCTCATCATTACAGGCATGCCCCCACCAAGCGTCCGCAGGTGCAGAAGCCTGGGGAGTCTGGGGGTGAAGGGAGGAGGGCATGTGTGTCAGAGGGGAAATCAGATTCTGTGAAAAGCAGAGGGGAGGGGAGGGAAGAGGGGTGCGACGGAATAGGAAACAGAAAAGCAAGGGTTTGGTGAACTGGGCAAATGGATGTGAACAGCCTTGGTCATCTGGGCTTTGCTACTTTAGATAACTACTACTCTGAGAGAAACCATGGATTCCTGGCAAGCTTCTGGAAGCTTCTGCATGCCCAGCCCCAGCCTGCTACAGTGTTGATCTCCAGTCGCATCAACCTCTGTCCCTCAGGTTCCCCATTTTCCAGCCCCCAAACTCCCAGCAGAGCTTGCTGGGCACAGTCTGCTCCCCTCCTACCGCAGTGCATTCCCAGCTCCAAGTCATCTGGCAGCGGCACTAAATTCTCTGAATGGTGTTTGCTCTTTGTCCTTTGTATGGGGTCTGGGACAATACTTACAGCTGAGGGATGCCTGATGGGGGAAAGATGTTCTGGGTGGTGACCACCAAGCACAGCCGCATTGGCAAACGCCAGCCCATCTGTACCCTGTTTGGTCCATATTTTGTCATCTGACCATTTCAACAGGGCTTTGGGAAATTCATCTCCTGAGTTCAGACTTCAAGGAAAGGGTTACAGAGTATCAGATTATTGCAACTCCCCCAAACAATGGCAGCCCTGTAAGGCACTGGGAGATGGGTGTTCACAGGGTTTCTGCTCCTACATAAACACCACCTCCAGTTAGGACATTCCCTGACACCCTATGAATGACAAACAGCTATCCAAGACACAGGATGGCCACTTCCTTAAGTGGTGTAAGTGGTGTCCATCACATTAGGCAGGAGGGTAGCACAGTGGGTCTACAAGATACCTGGAGAGATTGCTCAGTGGTTAGAGCACTGACTTGTCTTACAGAGGTCCTGGATTCAATTCTCAGCACCCACATGGTGGCTCACAACCATCCATAACTCCAGTTGCAGGGGATCCCATACCCTCTTCTGCCACCACCACACATGTGGTGCACAGACATACATGCAGGCAAAACACTCATGCATAGAAAATTAAAATACTAAGTAAATCTTAAAAGAAAAAAAAAAACACGGAATGTCCAAGTGATCCACCAGCTCTCTCTAACCAAAGGGCCAGAAGATTTTAACCATGAGCAAAATTTGAAACATACAAACAGATCAGTGAATGTCCAAGGCCGTTCATGTCAGTTACCGTATGAGTGACGAAGATTGGGGGTTTCCAAGCAGGGATGCCTTGGCAGTCTCTTGGGGTCTTCTGAATTAGGGTCTCAAAGGTGGGAAGTCGAAAACTCTGTACTTCTTAACACACTCTTGATGACTCTGATGTCACTGTCCCGGTCCTAGGCTGAGGTCTGGTAAGGGGACTCCTGACATAGGTGCTACTGGGGGTCGCTGGCCGGTCTGAGTTGGACCAAATGGCCTTCTGGAGAAAATGTGGACTGTGGTTTATTAGATCATCAAGGTTGATCAAGATATAAATAGAACCAACCAAAACTCTGCTTTGAACTGTGAATTTGGTTCCGTGAAGGAAAGGGCTGATGAAGATGTTGTGGACTTTCCAGGAAAGAGTAAATTGGGAGAAGTCTACCAGAAAATGTTGTCTAAAGTCAAAGGGTTTTGTTTGCCAGCAATGGCAAGATCTTCTATACCCAAGAAGAAGCTATTTACCATAAAGGCACAGGGGCAGAGCACCGAACCTACAAGGGTTTGATCCTGTCTCCTGGGAATAGAGTTGGAACCTGGCAAGCCATCAGAACCAAGCCCGTCTTCTCGCTGGGCCACATGGCACGAATGTTAGCTACAGCCCTCTGTGCACAGACAGCATGTTAGCCATGCCCTCACCTGTCATTGCCACCCACAGGAAACTCTCAGACACTTTCAAATACTTGGAAAATGACCAATTAGCCAAACTTTGGCATCCATCCCTGTCCAATGTACTCAGAGCAGGGACAAGACCCCACAGCCCAAAGGTACCCACCCATGGAGCCGAGCTGAGGTTGCAGCAAGAGAGGATAGCCCAGCTCCTGGAAGGCATCACAATCTGTCAATATGCTTGTTCCCTCTGTGCTTATTCACGCACTGACTCCCTCTGGGCTCATTTAGACTTAAATGGTCACCAGGGACTTCTGGTTCCTGCTCCCCCCCCCATTACAGGGTGTTTTCCTACAGGAAGCAAACATCACCTCTCCCACATAGGGACAGCACCAATTCCCTCCTTCTGTCCTCCGGGCAAGCCTGCCCCTCTCCTCCAGGTTTCACTGAGATTTCTGCCATGGCTTCCTCAGATCCCCTGCATACATAGCATAAAAGTCAAAAAGTGCTACAGGATTTGTGATCAAACCCCTCCATACCCCCTTTCTTACTGTGGACTCCTCCTTAGAGACAACAGCTTTCAGCTGTCCTAACAGACTATGTGCTGAGATTTGGATGTGGTTTACCCTCACCCCACTCCATGGTGTGTCAGCTTGGTCCTCAGTGTTGGTGATGCTGAGGTAGAGAGGCCTTTAAGATATGAAGTCAAGGGGAGGTTCTCAGGTCCCTGGAGACATTGGCCCTAGGAGGGATTGGCGTAGCTCTGGTCAGTGAATCATAATGGGCAGCCTGATCCTGACCTCTTTCTGGCTTCCTCCCTGGCAATGGGGGTATCCCCAGTCTTCAGGTCCTCATTGGAGCCTGGCATCCTGTCCTTGATGCTCCAGAACTATGAACTAAATAAAGGACAATAGCATCTTGTTAATAGAAAGTGGATTGCAGCATTTGGTAGTGATCTCCTGTCCACACCATGTGGGATGTGTTACCACATCTTGATGGATTTCATTTTTGTTTTGAAACTGGGTCCCATTACATAGCCTGGCTGTCCTGAAACTATGTAGACCAGGCTGGCCTCAAACTCACAGTGACCTGTCAGCCTCTGTTGGGGTCAGAGGTATATCAGCACGTATCTCAATTCTCTAGCTTTAGGTTTTATTTCTTCTCTTTCTGTTGAGGAATGCTACTTTAACTACATTTGGTTATGTTGTAGAATATTACTTAACCACATAAAGATGTGATACATTTGCTTGTGTTGCATTTGCTTATTTGTATAAAGATGTGTTACATTTGTTTATTTTGCATTTGTCTAATTATGTAAAGATGTGTTGCCTGCCTAAGGCATCTGGTTGGTCTAATAAAGAACTGAATGGCCAATAGCTAAGCAGAGAAGGGATAGGCGGAGCTGGTGGGCAGAGAGAATAAATAGGAGAAGGAATCTAGGCTCGAGAAGAGAAAGAAGGGGAAAGGGAAGAAGATGCCAAGTAATACATACAGAAGGAAAGAAAGGTAAAAAGCCCAAAGGCAAAAATGTAGGTGGAGAGAAACAGGTTAATTTAGGTTAGAGAAGCTGACTGGGGGTCTGAGCTAAGGTCGAGCATTTGTAACTAAGAATAGGTCCCCATGTCTTTATCTGGTGGCCCAAAGAGAAAGCCGGCAACATCTTTCTACTACAGAAGGGGAAGAAACGGGTCATACTTTGCTTCACAAGCCCTCTTCCAACACCACCCCCATTTACAGCAGATTTTTGTCTTTTGGGGTGTGTGTGTGTGTGTGTGTGTGTGTGTGTGTGTGTGTGTGTGTGTGTGGCTCAGGGCTCACCAATTATATCACTGCCCACAAGTAGAGCCAACCACCAGCCTTCCTTCTCTGGATATTTCCTGTTTCCTTGGGGACTTAGTTCATTTCCGTTTTGCTTGATTTTAGTTGTGCCTGTTGTTAACCAGTCAAAATTCAGACACATCAAGTGCCCTTCCCACTTTTTATCAGGTGAAAAAAAACCTCCCAGAAGTGTCTGCTCTTACTAATGAGTCCTCAGTGATGAAGCCATTACCCTAGCATCTCATCAGGCCTCTTGTCCCTCGTTTCCAGTGACCGCCCTGCTATGGTTGGTGCCTTCTTTCCTCATGTCACATGCTCCTTGGATTCAGAAGTGCCTGCAGAGGAGGCCAGCTCCATTCGATGTGGGTGAAGGAACATGGTCTCCTTCTGCTACCACCCTTGGACAGTATCGAGAGTAGTATAAAGGTCAAGGTTGAAAATAATTCCCATGAGACTGTCTAAGTGATGTCTCTAGTCGCTTGGCTTCCAATTGAAAAAGCCAAAGGGCTTTTCGGAGCCCTGAAGCCTGGTGTGAGTCTGGGTAGCACTTTCCCTTGCTTCACATTCACACATGTGCCCCATTCCCCACAGGGTGAAGGTCCTTCTCAAGCTGCAACAGTGTGGTGACATATTATTTATGATTTATTACAGCTTGCCTTAGGATTCAGAAAAGCAAAGTCAGCTACAAGCCATTGAACCAGGCACACACCTTCAATCCCAGAAGCTAAAACGTGGTGGCACACACCTTTAATCCCAGGACTCAGGATTAAGAGGTAGATGGATCTCTGTAAGTCCAAGGCCACACAAGATTGATCCAACAGTAAAGAGAAACAGCTCACACAGAAATGATCTCAGCACCTGGGGTCCATACCCTTAATCCCAGCATTAGGGAGGTATAAGACAGGGGCAAGGTGAATATCAGGCATTCATTCTGCAGGCCACATTGAGAATAGGAACAGCCCAGCCCTGTGAGAGGTAAGAGCTCTCTGGTAGTTGGCTGCTTTGATTCCCTGATCTTCAGGTTAAACCTCAATATCTGTCTCTGGGTCATATATTTTTCATGTTACATATTGGTCTTTTACTTATTTATTCATGCAACACAACAGCTCTAACCTTAAATTTCTAGAAACTCCCCCAACATGTGTCTGCCTTTCACACTTCTTACTCCTCCAGAACAAGGAAGATCTGTGCCTGGCATGTCCAACACTTGGCACAGTATGCTCTATTCCGCTGGCCTGTACTGGGTCCATCATGCTGACTGATACACGTCTAGGCCATGTAATAAATGAGTCACTTTCTCCCTGGGGACTGAAGCCACACTAGGCAGTATTCTTCCACATATCTCTGTCTTCATTTCTATTTTGAGACAAGGTCATCCTATGGCTGGCTTTTGCTCATTGTAGCCCAGGCTGGCCCTGACCTTGAAATCCTGCCTCTGCCTCTGGTAGTTAGGGTTCCAAGCCCATCATGGTGAATGCTTTCCATATGTAGTGATATAACATCTTATCCATAAAGTCAAGAGTCTGGAAACATCTTTATTACTGTTTACTATGATGATGATGATGATGATGATGTATAGTGTTCTGTCTGCATATATGCTTACACACCAGAATAGGGCACCAGATCTCTTTACGGATGGTTGTAAACCACCATGTGGTTGCTGGGAATTGAACTCAGGACCTCTGGAAGAGCATCCAGTGCTCTTAACCTCTGAGCCAGATCTCCAGGCCCTGGAAACACCTTTAAATCTTAAATCTGGTT